GTGCTACTATTACTAAGGGGAGTCCTGCGTCCTAGAAGATGGCGGTGGTGGGTGTAGTCTAATAGGCTAGTACGATAACTCTACATGCCTACTTAAGAACTTTATTAAGTACGCTAATATGCTAGCCTAGTTAAGTGCTCACCTAAGCGCTTCTTAATTAGCACATAATTCTAGAGGGCTTTGTCCTGCCTCCGTACCAGGCCTCTGCGCCGTATAGGAGCCGTGGGAGGACGTAGGCGATTACTACCTTATAAAGGAACCCTAGCGGGGGGCCGTGTTTAATTCAAGCTAGGCTGCAGATATAATATGTAACTACCCTTATCTTAGCAGCGCGGGTCGCGACGTAGGCCTTAAAGGTAAGCTTCTAGTTAAACTACACGCCTAGCTAGCGCAGGGCCTTATTCTTACTTATAAGGAGAATAGGGTGTATAGTAAAGTTCTTATTAATAATGCAAGGAGGGGCGTAGTCTCCTTTCTATCGTGTAAGGTGGATTATTTTAAGCTTATCTAGTAAGAAAGCAATCTTATTATTTACGCTATATCTATTAATCTTGCGAACGTCTTTAGCGAGTTATTTAACATTAAGGTTAAGGCTATAAGAGGCTCTGTATAGGCAAATATTGTTAGCATATCCAAATTATAGCGTAGTATCCTGGAGGAGGAGTTCCGCCAGGTACAGCATGTAGATAACAGGTAAAAAGGGCGAGCCCTGTAGGGTACCGCAAGCCACTAGGTGGCGGCCAGATCAGTGTTAGCCATAGTAAACAAGTATATATTAGTTCGTGAGAATGTTGCGCATAAGCATAAGGACTTTTTAGTGCTAGCCTTATCCTTTTATTTAGTATAGCAGTCTATTAATAAGGAGGGTATTAAAGGCCCTAAGCGCGTTTATAGTAACTATAGTAACGTGCTAGCCTTTACTAAAGGCCAGTTCTACTTCGTGGGTAAAGGCGGCAATTAAGTCTATAGCTAACCTTTTTAGTAGAGCCCCCCTATATTAGGGGCTTAGTACGCCGTGTAGTATAGCTAAGTAGGCTATACGCCGGGCGGTAATCTTTTTAAATCCCTTGCTAAAGCAGAGTAGCATAGCGAGGGGTCTTATAGAGCCTGGGACCGTGTAGTCCTTCTTACCAAGCTTCTTAATAAACACAATCTCCCCGTCCTTCCAGGCGGCAGGATAGTAGTTAAGTTTAAGTAGGTCGCAGTAGATATCGCAGACGTACTATCTAATATATTTTTAGCATGCTGTAAGTAGCTAGATAGTTATGCTATTAGCGCCTAGTAAGGTGCTAGAGACCTTAATCACGCAGCGCTCTGTCTCTTTAATAGACAGGTACGTGTCCTAAGGGATGGTAGGGTTCTCTTGTAGGGAGGGCGGTTCTGGCAGGTTATCTTCTACCGTGAATCTATAGAGTAGTGCTTATTAAAGTATTTTAGTCTTATCCTTGTCTTTTGTTACCTCTATGCCTCTAAAGACTATTAGTGCCTAGGTTCTAGTAGGTTCTAGCTTATACTAGTTAATAATTTAGAATAGTTCCTGGTTATCTTCTATATTATTTATAGTGTGTTACTAGTATTCCTTCTTTATTTTATAGACTATTGCTAGGAAAGTGCGCGTCTCCTTAAAAGGGCCCTAGCTAGTGTGGCCGTCTAGCAAGTTTAAGTGTGCCTAGTAATCTTGTTTACAGGCGTCTGTCTACTAGGGCGCTAAACGGCCTATCCCTCTTTTCTTCCTGCCTGCTATCTTTAGGGCGTTAGTAAGGACTTCTTCTAAGGTAGTAACGCGCCTATTAACGTGCTCGCGAGTGCGTAGTCTGTTTAAGCTAGGAGCGCTCTTTATCCTACTAGCGATAGCGTTAATAAATAGTAAGAGCTTTATAGTAGGGACCCTATATTAGAACTAGTTAAGTAGCTCCTATCTCTTTCTAAGTATTATAGTAACTAGCGTGTTGTAGTCTAAGCCGTAGTTTATGTCCGATTGTATAGCTATGGTAGCGAAGGGGATATTATAAAAGGAGAGGTCTATAACGTGCCCCGCACGGTGGGTAGGAACTCCAGACTTGCCAATATAGTCTATGCCACTGTCTATAGCCTATTAGGCTAGTTCAGCGCCGCCCTGTGTGGTCGTGACTCTAGGCTTAAACATATCGTGTTTAGCGTTAAGGTCGCCCCTAGCAAGGCACCTGTTAGGCGGGGTAAGGTAGGTAATATAGTTAAGAACAGGCGTAGTCTATAGCGCCTAGTAAATATTAAGTATTAAGATTCTGTTAACGTTAATCTACTACATGTCCTAGTTATAAAGTAGAGTACGTAATATAATTTTTAATTAGTTACCCTTACGGGTAAAGATAAGGACCTAAGGGCGTTCTGCCTCCTAGATCTCTTAGCTATCCTAGCTATCTACTAGTAGGTAAAAGTTATAACTAGGGTGGTTTAAAGTGCGTGTGCCTAGCTAGGTAGCTGGCTCTTACATATAAATAATGTTAATACCCTCTATAAAAGCAATCTTAAGGGTGGCTATATATGCTAGGCTACTTCTACTAATATTTATCTAGCATACTTTAATATTAGCGTCCCTACGTAGGGTAAATCTACGATAGTTGTTCCTTATTAACTTAAAAATTCGTCTATAGTCTAGTCCTCCTATAAGGAGGACTAGGTGTGATTATCCTATCTTATGCTTCTAGCAGAGAGCGCGGCGAGGTTTAGGCTATTACTAATTAGCGTAGAGAATCGTATAGGCCTACTCGATAAGCGTAGGGCCGCTTGTCGTAAGGAGGTGTCGGGGTACAAGGTCGATCGTCGAGGTCCTCTTAGGGGACGATAGCTTAGGGCCACTAGTTCCTGCTCTAGTCTAGTATCGTCTTCTTTGCTGGGGGAGGTGTCTTGGCCTTAGGCAGTAAGCTCGGGTTAAGGCTATAAGTTATATAATTAGTTAAAGGCCTTTTATCTAGCGCGTCTTAGTGTCTCTAGTTTATAGCAAGTTAGTTAGATAATACGATTATTTACCTTTCTAGGTTTTACTAAGTAGGTAGTGTCGTCTGCGGCGTGTAGGCCGCGATAGTTAAGGTATTATTATTTATAAGCGTAGTTATCTCTTATTAGGCTTTCGTGCTTACTAAGTTTTTTTTATAATTATAGTAGCAGGGTGCGCGTGTGTATTGTAACGCGTTATAGTAGCCCTAGTAGCTAGGGTTATAGCGTTTTATAGCCTGCTTCTTAATTATCTCGCGGGATAGGTCGCTAGCACTAAAGAGGTAGAAAGCCACCGCAGGCTTTTTAAAGGATACTATCTAGGTAGTATATCTAAATTAATTAGGGCTATGTTAGGAGGGGTAATAGTTAATAAGGTGTTGTTTTATCTGCGTGTAAGCCTCTTTTGCTACTGTCTAGAGGGAGTAGGGCACGTCTTCCCCTAACAGCAAGCGATAGCTACTAGGTACTCTAGGTATAGCGTAGTTAACCTATCGCATAGGCAACTCAGCGCTGTTAGCTTTAATAAATCTTATTATTAATTCCTTCTTTTCCTGTTCTATAAGCTACTATCGTATGTTGTTAGAGGCTAGGGTAATGGCCCACCCTATGCGGGTCCTTATAGCCGTGGGGATAGCGCTAAGGTTAAGCCCTATAGCAGCGCAGATAGCCGTTCGTATAGCGAAGGTAGAGGTCTAGCCTAGCTAGTTAGCTAGATTCGCGACTGTAAGCAGGACTCGTGGGTCTACTACCTATCTAGGTGTAGTTTGCCGCCTGGCCGCGATTGTAGATTTTCTATTACTAGCTATAGTCGTGTATCTACTATCTCCGTAGGAGGCAGATGCGACACTTGCCTATGTTATCTAAGGCTAGGTAGCAAGATTACTATTGCTGTCTGTAGTATAGGCAGTAGTTGTCAAGTCGTAGCTAGTCTTAACTATATTAGGACGAAGGCTTAGCGTGGCTAAATTTTTTAGTATCTATATAAGGTAGTTATAAAGGGTAGAGGTAGCTACTAGCTCCTCTAGGCGCTTAAAATTAGTAATATAATAGTTAATAGCTTTAGCTATAACTATTATAACTTTTTTTTAGGTTTCTGCCGCCTTGCGCGTAGCTATAAGGTAGAAGTTAAAGGCGTTAGCTACTGTATTTATAGCAGCTCTTAGGCAGATAGGCACGCCTCTACTAAAGGAAAGGCGTCTTAGAGGGCGGATATTAGTCTATTAACGCTTCCTAGAGGGGTGCTGGATGTTAGTCTATCGCGCAGACTTAGGGTCTGGGGGGCAAGTCGCTGTAGAGGGCCCCGGAGGGGGCCTCTAAGGCGTCTCCATTGCTATTATCAGCCCACCGCATGCGTGCGGTGCCTGAAGATGGCTAGAGTAGGATTTCAGGTGAAACTGAGATGAGCAAGGTAAAGATTTAGCAGTTTTACCACTTTCTCAAAATTCCAAAGTTGGTGTTGGTGTTGTTGGTTCTGAGAGCAATGATGTGGACGAATTGTATTAGTGGATTGATGCGTTTGATGACTTTATGATGATGAATTATTGCGTTTGGCGAAATGGAATACGGGTATACCCTCTTTTTGTCTACTCGGAGGTTAGTTCTTAGTGTTTTGGTCTTGGGCTGGGTACCGTATGTGCGGTTGGCGTCTATTGCTGGACCGCTCGTGGCATGTAGTATGTGCGTTGAAAAACGGTGTCTTGCACGCGTTGACCTTCACTCTTAATATAACTGTGACGAAAGTGTCTTGTTCTTACGGCTGGCTAGCTAGCTAGCTATGTACCGAGTACTACTTCCTTGTGAATGCAAAGTTACCATTGCGCCCACACAACCGAGTCCCCTCACTGGGCTGTTTACCCCCAGATAAAAGTTCAGGAGTAGTTCTTGACCATAAGTATATACAAAGTTAATCTAGTCTCTCTGCAAAGCCCAAAAAATTGACTGAAATTGTGGAGGGAAAAAAGCTACGCTCCATTTCCGCGCCCCCCATATCACATGATGCAAGCAGCTGCAGCCGCAAAAATAATTGGACTTGCTGGGAATCGAACCCAGGACCTTTCCCAACGATGTCCAAGAGCTTCGTAGACATGCTAAGGGAAAATTATACCACTAAACCACAAGCCCGTCACGTGATTGCGATGTGAGTTAGATGGTTGATGAGCAATATATAGAGCGGTAAAGAGTATTACAGGTGGTAGATGAATGCAAATGCTTACTCGGGAGACGAAGTGGGTACTGGAAGGCTTGCGTGGGTATTGGGAGATGATTGGTGGGCCTGTGGGGCATGGTAGAGAAGTTTTTGCAGGCTAGCTAGGGTAGGGCGGTGAAAGCGGAATTGTTGGCGCACGAATTTTGCTTCGTGAGGTTTAATTGTACTTTAGGATAAAAATTAACAGAAGCATAGTTGTAAGTAGCCAGGTACAAACAATCAATAGCAAGAAGCTTGCTCTCCTATTGTCAACTTTAGCGCTTCGCAAGCTTGGAGAAGCCGCGGTAGAACGCTTTCACCCCTATTTTACTGTTCAAATACAGTCTTTTCAAAAGAACATTGAATTAAATACAAATGTGATATCTGCTATGTTGGTATATAAGTTGTTTGTCGCCAGTTATGCTTGTTGCATTTCTTTGGGAAAGAACTGACATCGGGACAGCGTGTGTAGCTTCTTCAAGCATAGATTCTCGTTCGAAGGTTGCATCTAGCGAGATGGTTGATGAGATAGATATATTAGACGAGCCTCTTCGCAACTTCTCCTAACCACGGCCTCTCGCGTAAAGATGGAAGTAGGCTACAACGGGCCAATGTTTAGACTTGGAAAAGGTAGTGAGTAACCCTAGGATAGATAGTGCAAAGACTGAACTTTAACTGTTCATGTAGTAGTGTATAGCTAGCTTTTAGCTTTACGTAAGAGCACGGCATAAGGCAGTGCAGGAAAGCTGTTCACATGCAAGGCCAACACAATGGAACAAGAATACCAATCTCCACTTCACCAATATAGTACTAAGCCCGGTCTCATAAAAACAGTGATATATTCCGTCCACGCGGATTCAAACCAGAACAGGCTGTAGAGTACGCTAAAGCCATGCTCCCATGCAATGTCAATCGCTAAAACGCTATCGCTCAACAAAAGAGACCCACATGCGTTGTGCAGTGCGATGATCGATAATGATAAAAGGTAACAAAGGACTATAAACAAGCGAAAGGTATAAGCACGAAGAAAGTAAAATTGTGAAATAGAAAGGGTGGGCTATGTACATCAGAAGCCACTACTGTTCGGAAATGGTATAGAATAGAAGCGAAAAAGGGGCTGGCGTCCAAGAACCATGACGCAGCCAGAAAACATGGAAGCGTGAGCAGGGTTCAACGCTATGCTGGCCCTGTCTCAACGTTGAGAGTAGCGACCAACAAGTCCCTCTCACTTGGGAAGAGACGACTTGTAAAGGTGCCGACCGCAGTCGGCGGCGCTACTTCTCGTGGTGTGTTGCCTTGCCGTCGCCTAGACGGACAAAACATGCATATCCTTCTGGTCCGGCGTGGGTGGCACATGGAACGCAAAGCCCGCTGCCGCGGGCTTGCCCTTGTGCGCCGCCAGCCCTAGACCAACTTCGCGCATTCGTTCGGCGCCCTTTCCAGGAGCGCAGCGCTTTTCTTTGGTGCATTGCTTGTGTTTCTGCATCTTCTTGTAAAGCTGTTCTTTGCGCCGCTGGCGCTTCTTCTCCAAACCGACCTTGATATCAATGGCGCGACGGACAGGGAACTCATTGGGAGTATCTTCGTCATCATAGTCAATCTCCGGTGGGTTTAGGGTGACGGGAGTTCTAGGCAACGATGAGGTCATCATCGGAACCGGACGCTCTGCTAGGCAAGCAAACTGGATCGAGAGATCCGTGTGCTTAATGGGTTCGACTTGGAAAGATGACGCACGCCATGTAGGAGGTGGTGAACGTAGTCGTATGGGAGCGGGCGAGCGCATCCGCTTTGGAGATTGACCGAAGAGTTTTCGAGGTGGTGGAGAACGATGGACAGTGCGTTTCACGGGAGCAGGTGATCGCAAGCGTTTGGGTGACTGCGCTGGCGAACGCTTCGAAGCAAGAGGATTACGACGACCACGAATTTCAGCATGCAGGGCGTCCATCTGACCATGGAACATGAAGTACTGATCACTTTCAGATGCAAGATGATCGGGCTCGTCGTCCTCGTCTTCCTCGTCCATTTCCGGATCCGACGTTGGGAAAGTTGGGTCGACATCCTGAGGTGTCTTCTTGTGTTTCGCTTGGCGTCTAGCTTCCAGTGCTGACATGTACGCCTCCTCAAGAGGGCGGTCTTCATCCAAAGTTCCACATACAAAGTCGGTGCTATCTGGGAGCTCCGGACTAGGCACGCGAATGTTGACGGGTCGAGATTTCCGTCGTTTGATCGTCTTTTCTGGCATGTAACGGTGCACCCGATGCTCGCTTTCCAGGGAACCGATCGAAGATTCGGAAATGCTGCGGCGGCCAGAGGGGCGGATATGGTCTAATTGCTCAATTGAAGTTGCTGCCGTCGAGCGTCCAGGTGTCCACCAATTGTAATCAGACCCCGCGTCACTATCGTCATCTGATCCAGCAAAGCCTTCCTCATTGTCTGTTTGGAAGCCTTCGTCGGAAGAGACCTCACCTGAATCGCTCTCTCCCTCGTCTTCGACCTCCTCATCCTCATCCTCGTCTACGTCCTCATCCTCCTCCATCAGGTTATCTTCCTCTTCATCGTCAAGAGCCTCCTCTTCCGCTTCCTCGCCGAGCTGACGAAGGTTGTTTTCGATGACGAGTGTGTCCTTTATGGTAAGGGGTCGTCGATGGCAAGTAGATTCTTGTGTCCATTCTTCCACCTCTTCCTCGGAACTAGCAAACTCATGGAAGCGGAACGCTTCAGTGCGCGCTAGATCGGAGTTGCTGCTAAGACGGCGAGAGCGATCCGTCGTACGAGGTTTCCGGACAGATACAGGCGAGGGGTTGCGGACCGTTGAATCAGATCCCCTGTGTGCTTTAGGCGAAGGATTGGTGGTCGTGTGCATTCGTGGTGCAGGTGCAGGGCTAGCTGCACGGGTAGCACGCGACTTTGGAGCGTCCATTGATATTTTGGTGGGACAGACGAACTTGATTGTACACGCTCGCTTAGGTGGCTCCTGGCTCTCTTTTGGTGGAGGTGCGGGCTTTGCAGCTTCCGGCTCGGGCTTCGCTTCTTTTTTGCCACCGCACGCAAAAGTGATGCATCGCTTGCGACCAAGACCCACTTCCACCTTGTGTTCTCCTGTCGTTGGGGCGGGTGCATCTTTTAATAGAGGAGTTACGTTCTCTCCGTCGTGTGGTAGGATGGTGACGGTTCGTTCCAATGGTTTGGTGGAGATGGGAAGCATGTTGTGCGACGAGACCGGAGGTAGTGGGGGGCTCGGAGTGCTGGTGCGCGTGCCTGGGCTGGTGATATCACCGTCGCTCGTGAGCTCGGCTGTGGACACACTATTGTTGCTCCACGTAGAAGTACACGACATGCCTCGAGGCACCTCGTCCACGTCTTCGTCAATGGGTGAAGTTTCAGTCGAGTGCAATGCAGTCGACAGAAGTGAGGTCTGGCGCTCGCAACGAGGGGCGTGCTTCGTGAAGGAGTTTTTGAAGGAGTCGTGAAGTTTGAGTACCGAGGGCCGCGGGGTGCGCTGTAAATCGGGAGGCTCGTCGACGTCGGCCAGCATGTCGTCTTCGGAAGACATGGCGGGCGCAGCGTTTGCTGGGATATTGAAGGAGGTACGGTTCGATTGCGCACTGTGGCTGCCAAGGTCGTTCTGTGCCATGGTGTGCAGGGGCGGCGATTTCAAAACGGGATCGGCACAGACGGCTGCTCTTGGCGTCCCGATCACAGGGGAATCGAAGGTCAACAATCTGAAAGTCACACGCGGCGTGTGTGAATGCTAGCCTTGGCGGTCTCGAAGACCCAACGTTCCTGCCTTCTGCAGGTGGATTTGGGAAGAAAGTAGGAATTGGACCTCCCAGGGTGATTTGGTAGGAAACGGTAGGTCGTGGTTGTAGTGGCGAGTAAAAGGCGAGGTATTACTGGAGTGGCTGTATAGATGCGGGCAAGTGCAGGTTGGGGCCCCGGAGGACGTTTGTTATGATATGTAAATCAACATGATGAGGATGGGGCAAGTAGTCCTAAAACAAGTTGGAGAAGGACTGGGCTATGTCAGAGCTGTCAAGATGGCAGCGTTGGACGGTGGAAGGGTGTACCTGGCGGAGAATATGAGGTGAGGATCCGCAGCCGGACTGTGTTTAAGTGGCGACGCCGCACGATGGCTGTGAAACGAGTCCGATTGCTGGGCAACCGCTGACCAAGAAGATGGGTCGTGGGAGTGAGGTGTACCTCGCACACAACAGTGTTCCTGGGAACTGCGGCGAGGCAGGTGAAGGGTGAGGAAGAGAGCAGGGAAGGGGAGTGTGCGGTTCCAAGACTGGAGCGTTGGGAAGCGGCAGTCGTCGCTTGAGAGTAGCGCGCCAAACAAACGAGGCGGTAATTATGTACCTCAGCAGTGCAGCGCGCCGAGCGCAGGACGCCAATACCGTCGAATGTGACGCCTGCGGCTGGCGGCCAAATTCCACAGGGCGAGCAAAGCGCCCAGCGTTTGTGCTAGAAGCAGCTGACGGGCGCGTTATTACTTGAATGATGACTCTTGCATTGTCACTCTGCGGCGCTCTTTGTTTGCGCCCGGCCACGCCTTCCAGTTGTCGCCGTCGCCTTTGTCAGCCGAAGTTTCTACAACGCCAGGCCGGAAGAGGCCGTTTCGTACGGGCTCAGAACGCGGCAAGAAAAACCTGCTTGGTGGCAGATCTCGCACGGGCTGCGAAGACGCAATGCGCCGCTGCAGCCAGATACCCGTGCTAGGCCCAGTCGGCCTCCTGAGGCTGCCCGGCTTGTCCTGCATCCGATGCTTGGTACTGCAGTCGCACACACACGCGCATGCATGCATCAATAACAAAACTCCCTCGCGCAGTTCGTGCCGTCCGCCAGCTCACGACAGCATTGAGCACCGCGTATCGCTAGCACGCAGCATCGTGAAGCTTCTGTGCTCCTACAACACTAACCAGCAGCCCCTCTTCGA